ATATGATTAATTGGTAAAAAAAGCCATTTACAAAGTTTACAATTAAGCGCATTTAAAATAACCACAGTTCACCGTACCGTTAATAACTTATAGGTTTTTACCGGAAATAGGAAATTTAATTTTGAAAAAAGATTAGGCGATAAAAAGTAAAGAACAGACCGGCGTCAAGTTTATACAAAGATATGTTTGAAAATTAGCTGCATCTTTAAGAGTTTTATGCCCATTTTTCAAAAAAAATAAAAGAAAAAAATTGAGAAGTGACTGAAAATTTAAATTTCATCGGAAAAAAAATTTTTTTTTTGTATTAAAAAAATTACTATACCATCTTAATCAAAAAAAAAAAGTTTTTTACCGCATTTTCAAAAATGTTTAATTTCATAAGTAATTAAAGACACAAGAATAAACTATTTCATTCTACTCAGTTTTATTCTATAGTTTAGGTGTCCCAGATAGAATATTACGCCGGATATTTAATGTTAATCAATAATAAGAAAAAAACTTGTTTTAATTATTGCTGCAGTCTTAAACACGGTTTAGACTTGATTAAACCATTCATTAGACCTGATCAAAACATTTGGTAATCAACTGAGACAATTAAAAACACAAAATCTAAAGTGTTAATCTGTTAAAATTATCTAATGTTAGTAGATTAAAAAAGGTTTTATTTAATTTATGCAGTTCAAATAAATAAGAATTATTACGTATATAGCAATAGCATTCTCTGCGTTGATGTAACAGACTGTTTGATATATGAATATATCATATATCAAATATATGAATATTTTCATACCAATGTATGCATATTTAGTCATACAGAAAACAATCTCTGCAGAAATGCAAAAGATACTGGTGATGCTAATAATATAAGGGCTAGATCTTTTAGCAGTGTATGATAACTAACCATTTAGTATTAATAATACTACCCAGTTGGTACAAGAACGTTTTTCAAACATTTAGTAAACGTTTAATGGTCGTATTAGCGACGATTGTACAAGTAAAACGTTTAAAAACGTTCAGAAAACTTTTCAATAAGAATTTTTTTATCATTAGATTAATTTTTTTACATGACCTACGAAAAACGCTTTAAAAAGCCAGCAAATAGCTGTAAACGGAGCACTGCGCTATATATATATATATATATATATATATATATATATATATAATATATATATATATATATATATATATATAGAGAGAGAGAGAGAGAGAGAGAGATATATATATATAGAGATATATATATATATATATATATATATAGAGATATATATATATATATATAGATATATATAGATATATATATATATATACATATATAGTGAGTAGTTTA